TTTTTTTTTTAACTGTATACTCTACATGTGTTATTGCAGCTTAGTGAAATGTATAGGCAACTGCCGATTCATCTTCTGTTCATACAAACACGACGGCAAGCAGTGGCTTTGAGCAACCAATTTAGGCAAAACCTTCTGCAAATCTCCTTCTCGGAAGTCTCCAGCCTCACCTTTTCTGATCAAGCACATGACACAATCCATCAAGACCGAATTACACGGTACTACTATAGGCCCATCTCTAGGCAATCCAAATTCCTCTTCAGACATCTTCAGTAACTGTCTGAATATTGCATTATTCAGATAAGACAACGGAACCTCAAATCGCCTGTGATCAACGGTGTACACTGCAAAGTGTCCCTTGCCAAAGCAGCAGATAATGTTTCTTGGGGTAAAAATTGTTTCACGTTGAACTTCCGCGAAATTTTTCCACTTTCTGGCTATCTTAACGAGTCTCTTGGCACTGATCATTTTTTAGCTTGCTCTGGGAAGCAAAAAAAGGATAGAGCTTCTTTGTGAATTATTTGCAGGTGGATAATGGAAAAATGTCGATGTGGGATTTTAAATGAAAGAATTTTGAGACAAGAGATTAAGTTCTTGCTTAATATCAAGGACTTCAAAGCCATGTGCCGAGAAGGATACATGAGATGGGAACCTCAGTCGACCGACACGTGTCGACGGGAGATGAATTTAGGTACTGCATAAGAGAAATATACCTTCCTGATTGCTGTTTGGTGTGGAAACATTATGGTCCTTTAGCTTTTGGCTTCCTTACCATAGAGCCACAATTATGAAAATCTGTTATAAGTAGAGTCAACAAATATACACAACACTAGTTCAGACCTGCCAACATTCTCATATTTGGATAGTTCTGTTTACAATCACATTGACAGGGGAATCTAATTGTTTGTCACATTGTCTGAAAATTTGGACCTTGTTTCAATCAGATTTTACAATCATGTGAGATAATTCAGTAGAAGTGGTCATTCTTGGCCCAATCTTTTAATTGGATTTGTGAACTTAGTTGGGCTCAGATTGCTTAGGCAGGTGTTTTCTTGGATCACACATGACACAAGTACAAAACTCCTTTGTGTGTACCCTATAATTTGCACATGGTACAAGTTCTTGATAAATAGGCCCACTCTTTTTTGTAGATATTGTTTGGGCTTTTCGGGCTTGGGTTTGTCTTTTGGAACGTCCGAGTAACGGGCCTAGGCCCGCGGGCTAGCCCGCCCTGCCCTGCCAAAAGAGTGGGTTGGGCTGGGATATTAGAGGCCCGTTGGGGAGCGGGCCTAAACGGGCCAGCCCGTGCGGGCCGCGGGCTTTGGCGGGGGCCGCGGGCTGGCCCGCCTTAACAGAAAATAAATAAATAAATGTATGTAAATTGTAATTAATAATGAAGCTATGATGTATAATGTATCAATGTTAATGTATTTTTTCTATTTAAGTCACAATTTTTTTTTTTAAAAAAAGGATAACAACTAAGTAAATAACAAAAGTACAAAACAAATGGAACAAATAAACAAAAAATAGCAACAGAGAAAAAAAACGGGGCTTATTATTTGTGAACTCAGACTCAGAGCAGTAAAACTAAAGGCGGAAAATTGATTTAATGAAACAAAAGTTAATTTTTAAGTGTTCAACCCGGCTCGATTCCAGATTAGTCGGTTCCCCTGTGGATTCGGAAACCGGAAGGTCTTTGTACCAAAAAAAAGTTAATTTTTAAGTTTTTATTTTTGTAAATGGGCGGGCCAGCCCACCGAGCCCGCGGCCCATGGCGGGGTGGGCCGGGCTGGCCATTTTGCACCTCGCCCCGCCAAATGGTGGGTTTTGGCGGGCTGTGGGCTGGCCCGCCCCGCCAGCCTGTTTTGACATCCGTACGTCCGACCCAAAAGTGTGCCTAATAGATTTGAGATGAGCTGAATTTATTAACCTGTGAGGGTGTGACCCATAGGTCATGAGTTCGAGTCACCGAGCAAAGAATGTGAGAACACTATTGGTTCTCCATTTTAAAGGAGAAGCTGAATTTGTTAACTGCTCAATGGCCTTGTTGAACTTTCGGTTTACAACATTCCTCAGTTTGTTTATTACCGAAAATCAGCAGACAGAAAAATTGAAAGTTCGGAGAAGTTTCAAAGAAAAATGCTGTCAGAAAATAAGAGAAATAATACTGGTTGCATTTTTTTCTGAATAATACTAATGATTGTTAGATTAATAAATTTATGAGTCCCTTTGTCTAGATGGGAAAAATTGCAATTTAGTATGTTGTTTTGTTAGTTTTGTTATGGAGCTATCGGATGACTCGACTTATGGAATCATCCACATTTATTCACCAATAGTGTTGACATATGTCCAGCAATAAATACAATTTGGGCAGGTGCCAATACATTAAGTGGTGAATGATTTGACTTCATAAGAAAATTATCCGATGACTCCATAAAATTTTTGGTTGTTCTAATAAAACTTCGGTTTGGAAAACTTATTTCAAGCGTAATTTCATGATTGTCAAATAGAGCTCTAATTGAGCTGCGTGTAATTAAATTCTAAAAAATTAAAAGGTTTCATTTATGCTGTTGTGAGCATTGTTGGGACAAAAATGACAAACTTCTTGTAGGAAATTAACCTAACTAGTATTCATAATGTGCACATGCACAAAGAAAAATAAAAATATATATTACATGTATTATACAATATATAAAATTTTATATTAGATAATTGATGTATTACATTTTAAACTTTGACTACATGCAAATGTGTAATGTAAATATAATTTATTTAACTTACATATGAATATTTATATTGATGCCATAAATTTTAATTGCTAATATAATTTAGTAATTTAGAGAGAACATTCAATTAATTAGTTAGAAAAGTATTACAATTATTTTTATCATTGTTATAACATTTTTCATGTGATTTTAAGGTGTTTAATTATGACCCTCATGCCAATTAACTAATATTAGATAAAAATCACTTAAACGACAAAAATATTTTATTTTAGAAAAAATATTTTAAAGAAAAAAATTACAATACAATTTTTTTATAAGTATGCAACTTCCACATACTATTTAATGTAAAGTTGTAATCAATTAGTATTAGTAGTGAATAAATTAGTTTAAAATTATTATAACACTTTATTAATGTAAAATGTAACGGTTTTACATTAACTGAAAAAATGAGCGGGAAAATGAATAGAGGTTTTATTAATTAGGTTTTATTAAATGCTATATGTCAGCAATTATATATATATAGATTTTTTGCGAGAAAATCCCTGAGTCGTTTCAGTAATTTCAAAATTCGCGGTACATTTAAATACGATAAACTTAAGGTAACAACAATATTAATTACTAATGAGGAAACTGGAATCATTTATTTATTTAAAAAAAAAAAAAAATAAGTGGAATAAAATAAAACAAAAAAAAAATTGTGGAAAAAAATCAAACGGACGGATTTTCACAATCCATGTTTTAAAGAAACACGGATTCTGAAAATCCGTGTAACTGTAATTTTACAACGAACACGGATCACCAAAATCCGTGTTCCCTTAATTACGAACGGAACACGGATTACCAAAATCCGTGTTTACTTAATCTCGTAATTAAGCTAATTAAATAAGCAGAACACGAATTTTGAAATTACGTGTTTAAATGAACACGGATTGTCATAATCCGTGTTACTTGAACACGGATCAC